ATTAAAAAATATTATTGCCATTCAACTTGCTTTGAAGAATGTGTGTTACTTTTAGACTAGTTACGAAAAGAACCAAACATGGATTAGACCAAATTTAAACAATTGTAATATGAAGATGCCGTAAAGAGGTAAGGCTTCAAATACATTTTTGCGCAATACCTAATCATATCATATCTATTATAAATAATCACTTCGTACTGTGTCTTAATTGACAGCATGTATTTAATAAATTAATAATATTAAATGTAAATAATCCCTGTTTAAGCTTCAGACATTTTGGCGTGAGAACCTTTGTTGATCCATAAAACAAACAATTTCGTAGCCTTTGTCAGTGAAAACGTGTGCATGGAGGTAAATTTTCTCTATTTAAATACGTATGCTCATACGTTTTCGCTGCTGCACTTGACAGCTTGCGAATACCGTTTAAAACGTCTAACGTTTCCGTTTCCACAACTTAAATGGATATAGAATAATATTGTTTACTCTCTTTTTTTGAAAGAAAATAAAAGAGAGGTCAATATGTTTCGTGATTGTTTCGGTAGTTGGTAAGGTAATTAAAATTGATAGTATGATAATATTTACCTAGTATTTTTTATCTAATATTATGTTGCCATAAGTAACATTGTGTGAGCCCTGTCTTGAAATATATTTCTAACATCATTTATTTTTACCCCACTCAATACTGAGATGCTATAAAAGATAGGTAACGACGTTACGACGTTCGGAAATTAAATATCAATTTTCTTTGACATATCTCTCAGCTGATCCGCGGAACTGAGTACCTTTGATCTTTTATTCTAATATACATATAGCATATCAGACATGAATATTAAATATTTGTTTACTCGTATATTACAGAGTTATTTCATATTTATTCATAATAAAGCGTACCAAAGTGTAAGATTTTTATAGACAATTTTTTTTTATTTCGTATGAACAGAATCGAGTGCTAGTACTTTTAAGAAAAAAGGAACTAGATGAAACAAACATTGTTTTTTGTCTTGTTAATGTTCGTTTCATACGTTTTATAGCTTATTTTTATTGCGTTGGATAAAATTGTGTATATCCACGCGTTGAAATAATTAATTTGGTCTTGTTGGCCCTTACATTTTCTGTCAGAAGCAGACAGGCCCTACCATATTAATTACCGGGAGTGTGTTGTACTAAATTTTATTTATGTATACAAATCTTTTTGGCAATATTGCGTTATGTTTGGATAAAAAAGGGTTTGTGTTTCGTAGCTCGTTCCTCCAAAAGAATATTCTGAAGTTGAAGTATTTATTTAATACATTAACGTTATTTTAAATTTGTTAAGTTGTTTTTGTTTTTCTAATTTACACACCTCTGCTCTGCAGATTACTATGTTTTAGCGACACATCCAACTACTTAGTTAATGATCTTTCAGGGTAAAAAAGCTGAACATCGGAAAATGTAAAGTATACCTTTAATATGATTGCCTAATTTCGTAAGCTATTATGCTTGCCTCTACTACCATTTCTACCGTCTAAGTACATGAAACTGAATTCACGTTATTATAGTTAGGTTCATCTGTTCATTGTCTGATGGATTGGACGCATTTACATGCGAAATTCGATTAACGTCCGAGCTTACGCGCTAACAAACAGCAGAGAGCAGTAATTCAGGAACAACGGCTGTATTATGAATTGCGTGGGCGAACTAATCTGACCCCTACTAGGCTACATTTAGACTGCAAGTACAATCTATTTTAAATACGTGTTTCAGATTAAATGGTATATAAATTCTTTATTTCTCTACAAAAATTGTATTATTTATTGACGTTAATTTTTTGGAGTGTGCAATTTTTTATTTTTTTTCTACCTATGCTTAACTAATTTATGCATATTTGAATGAATTTGTGTATGACATGAAAACATTAGTAATTAATGTAATTTTTTAGTAAAATATTTTGTTAATTTACTTCTGGTTATAAGATTATTTGAACATACTTATCCTAATAACTTTTTCCAATTTCCTACATTAACCTGTCTATATAAAAATCTTGTAAAAATTAGGAAATTCCGTGCACTGGTACTTTGGTAGGAAATTGTCGGAAGCGCATTCGGATGGGCGAGCGTTGAGGCGTGCAAAGCCGCTGCAGCGAACTCTTTCACCGAACTCAGCGAACTGAAAAAACACCTACGTGCATTGTGCGGCGTTTCCACTTGGTTTTCCTCAGAAAAAATACCTTTCTCTTACATCTTCAACTAATAATAAACTACATTTCATTCATTTTTAATATAGAAAATTAACCGTGTTGCGCATTTGCATCAGTTTTCTCCATGCTTTTCTAAGATTTTATTTATTTTTTCAGGTCGTTGTAATGTACCTATATTTTTTATACTTTAGTAATTTAATTTACTTTTCAGTTAACATGATCAAATACTTACTTTACGTTAAGTTTAATTGATCTAATAAATAATGTAGGTAATCTTTGTATTTCTAACAATTGTGTTTATACAAAGGCAGCTGCCACAATGAACATGTAACCGCGTAACATTTTATAACAAAAGCTACTACAAGATTAGGTTTACCTTCAATTATTACTTGATAAATTTTAAATGGCTTTTGTATTTTACATGGCTTATGAATTTGATTCTATAATAATAATAATATTGTAATTTGATTCTATTCGATTTTATAGTAACCATCTCTATTTGTACAGATTTGAACGTATCAATTCTGTCTTTCTAAAAACCAGTGTATTTATCTAATTATGTGTTCTTGTTATTTATATTTTTATGGAGGCAGCCAAAAAACAAGCGTCGAATTCTTATTTTCTTTCCGCGGCAAAAACATAGTTCAAATATATAGACTTGTTTTTCTCCAAAGATATTACTGGAACATAAGGTTTACGTATTATGCAATATCAAATTCAAGAAAGAACTTAACTACATAGTTTTCCTACTTATTTAATACGTGGCTATTACACAAAATAAATTAAAATACATGTGTATTAAGCGTCGGTGGCTCAGGTGTTTCAACACTTGATTTGTAATCTGCTGGTCCTGGGTTCGAATCTCGCCATGTACCAATGTGTTTTTCGATATCCGATTTACATATGTACATTTATCTGATGTTCTTACGGTGAAGAAAAACATCTTGATACAACCCGCACATATCTGTGAAGAAATTCAAAGATATGTGTGAAGTCAACCAACCCGCACTGAGCCAGTGTGGTTGACTTCGGCCTAGTCACCCCTAACTTAGGGTAGGCTCCGAGCCACTCAGTGAGACGTATAATGAGCTGATGATGATATTTATTAAGCTTCTGCTTGTCCTAGGAGATAGCGCATAATATCGCAATGGTGGATTCGAACCCACCTCTAGTTTAGCAGTCTGTATCCCTTATACCAATTAGCTATAAAAGACTTTTTGTGCGTATTTTTATTTAACCTTTGTAATTCGATGAAAAGAAAAACATCAGGATTAAACGGTCAGGTAACAACTTAATCACAGTACAAAGGATCGACGCTTTCATTTAGTGAACCATTATCCCAATTAGTAATCCGAGAGTTTGATTACCTTTCCCTTCAGATTTACGATCGACTGCATTTATTCATCAAAAAGCTTGTAGTACCCCAATGCTTTGTGATCGAATTTGATTGTAAGTAAAAGATTTATTAATACAGGATTAATTTCAAACATTCGTATTTGAGCTTTAATCCATGTAATTGATACTTAAAAACAATTAATGGAATTGTCAAAAGACATCATACGTCGATAAATTTTGTTTAAAATGTTCACTATAATCTCGTTTCTTCTGATAGCTTGTCTTTATGGAGTTCCTTAGATACCAGTTGCCCTTAATAAACAAGTAAATAACAAGTAATCGTAGCTTGCTTCCATTAATATCTCTTATGAAATGGTTAGTTAGAATAAGTTGTACTTTTAGAGGTTACTATGAATATTATTTAATTTCCATTTTACTGACGTGAAATATTAAAATTGAGCCAGAGCAAATGTCGGGCGACGTTAAATTATTATACAAACTAAATCTTACATCAGTAAGCTCACATAGAACAGAACAATAGAACACTATCTCCGTAAAATTAACTGCGGGTCGCATTATATTGTTAAGATTATTTAGAACTCATCCTTTAAGAACCTTTTTTATCATTAAATGTCTTACCTGTTATAATGAAGATGGAAATTCTTATACTTCATACTAATATTATAAATGCGAATGTTTAGATAGATGGATGTTTGTTTGAAGGTATCTCCGGTACGGCTTAACGGATCTTGATGAAATTTGGCATAGATGTAGAACATAGTCTGGAAGGACACATAGTCTACTCATTAAGTTTTTTTTATTCCGCTCGGACGGTGTCGCGGGCGACAGCTAGTCTAGATATAAATAAACAAATAGAATTTTCATATGTCCAAACATATAATTTCGAGATTGTTAACTATTTTTATATTTTTAAATTGTATTCGTGAGAGCATTTTCTTCTGAACTGCGGCTGAAATAGTACCATAGTCAATATCAAACTGTCGTATTTGAAATGTTAATGTTTTGGGACACATCAGAATTGCAAATAATCTTACTCTATCTGGGACACTGCGAATCAGTAATACGGGTTTGGTTGCCCTTAATTATATTTTGTATGTTATAATTTATAAGTATTATATTACTGAATGAATTAGAAAGAACAAGATTTTGAAAGTAGAACATAATTTCCATACATGTTTTAATATCAATAATTCCTTTTATCGTTATTAATATGTAAAATTATCTTTATTTTAATTTTATTATCGATGTCATGTCATCGTTTTTGTCGTACTAATATTATAAGTTTATAAATAATCGTCCATGTATATAATTATGAGAGGCTGAAACCCTATGTTACAAACATTCAGAAATCTCTTTAGTTTACGGAATTCTGTTCGGTTTTAGTATTGGTAGGATTTCTGAATACTCCACATTTTACGATCAAATATTCAAAGGATATTGAGCTAAAAAATAAAAGACAAGATTTATGCATATACTGTAATCTATATTAGGGATCTTAATGATTTATTTGTCAATTATGATTACAATTAAATTATAGGTCTACATGTACAAAAATTGTATATACAAGAATCATGTATTCATGTTTAAAACTATATATTAGTTGGTAGATACATAACCATTTGATAATAGAATTGCCCCATCAAAATACGAAGTATACATTTAAAATGAAGTAATTCTTTTAACTAATATTGTTCATAATCAAGTAACAAATAAATGTCTTCGTCTAGTTTTTAAAATAAACCAAATAAGTGGAACATTAGTATATATTATGTATCTTTCGATTCTTATTCATACTAGTTTAAATTGACGATATTTCATAAAACAGTTCTTAATATAGTAGTTTCATTCAACACACAAATATAATTTTCAACTTGCGCTGTTTGGTGTATACGTGAGGATACAAGTACATTTTGTAGTAATACCTTATAATATAGCGAAGTCCAAATCGATCTTGAGTGACACAATATTGGCAGTAAGTCACTCAAAATAATTTAATTATATTATGAACACCAAACGAATGTACGATTTTTCTCTTATTTACACACATCTATGTTTTAATATTTGGCACAATTACGCATTTCATGCACACATTCACACACCGCCGTCTAACAAATCTACTGGTTCTGAGCAAATATAGGTATGCAGAAAAATATCTATCTACAGAAATACAATAGACTCACCTCAAATATCATGCAACACGGGTGAGTATTTAAAATAATTTATTTACACGCGCAATCAGTCGTATGCATTATAATAATGACGAATAATAATAATTTATAACATAGTCATAATCATTACAATTGGCTCTTTGTAATACTCAATTTGTTACTAATTAATTCAAATTCACTATCACAAGGGAAAATCGATTACCGACCATTTGTTCAAAATAAGCCAAAAAGTGATTTACATTTGTAAAGATGTCAAAAGCAAGATAATTATTACGATTGGCACTATACGCAGTCCTTAATAGGCCGGACTAAAACCTACTCAAAATATATATAAACTATGTAAAATCGTAAATCTACTTAAATTGTAGAAATCGAATAAATTCTGATGTCGTAATGACAAGATTATCATCGATAAAATCGTCGTAAACTTTTATCTCACAACCTGGTGTGCGGTAGCTAATCAACACATGATTCTAGAAGATATGGTCTGATCTAATCGTTTCACTAAACCCTACACTTGAAAATCGAAGGGGTGGTATTGTCAAGAGTGTCAAGTCTAAGATAGTGAGTGTTCGAGATATCTAGATGTTTCTAGAAGTTGTTATCGTAGTCGGAACGACGGCGTGAGTAGTGCGAGCGCGGATATTCGCCGGTGTATCCGTATACCTGCGATCCTGCACCATTCTGACCGTACAGTTGAGAGCCTCCATATCTGACAAAAATAATAAATTGATTAGTCTTTTTTGTAAATCAAGGAATAAGAACTAAAGAGTACCTTGTTATAAGAAGGGTAAAGTAGCATACTCCTGCACAGGAAGTTTTGATGTAAATGAGGACATTGACAGAATGAAAATAATTTATTAGTTTAACGTTGAATAAATAACAGAAATGGTGGATAGGAGCACGTGAATCAATTGTGTAGTGGGCATATGGACAAAAAAACTCAAATAATCATATTGCGTAATTATACTGACCCATAGCCATTTCCAGATACTCCATAAGTCTGTGACCCGCGTCCAGAGTCTGGTGTATAGTGTTGCATATACTTGTGCAGCTGCGGTGTCCATTCTGACCTCCAAGAGTCACCGGGATTTTGATAAGCGAGCTGTTCAATGAACGCTGTTGACATTCTCTGTTAAAATAAAATAAAATAAATTAATAATATATTGCAGTAATCAAATTAAACCATTTTAAGTATATAACCTTTCCAGATGGAGGATACGACGGCAGATCCCGTTCTTTCATTTGATGCGTATCTTCGAATCCACCCATATGACTTTTGTCTAATTCCCGAAGCATATCCTCGCTTAAGGGTATTGGCTGTTTTGCTTTAGCGCTTTTTTGGCGATTAACGAGCTACAAAAATTATGAAATTATTATTCAAGGTCCAATAAAATGTTTGCTTATTTTTTTTATGCGAAAATAATGAAAGGTGGAACTTACGACGGTAACACCAAATATGACAACGAAGAGAAGTGAAGCCATCGCAATAACAATTACTGCAATACCCCATTGTGGGAGGAATGCCTCATCACCAGGTTCCACTATAGTCGGATCTTCACGTTTTGGCAATACTGCAAGAAATTACACGTGAATAAATTTACATGGTATAGTTTCATAAGTAATACGTAAGTTGTATTAAGTGACAATACAAATTACCAATGAATTCTGTATAAGCTGGGTCCATTACAAATTTTCCCATTTCCAATTTTCCAAATGATTTATCGATAGTTTTGGTCATTTTTTCGTTGCTCTTTCTCATTTTATCCTCCTCGGGCTGGTCGCCTAACATTACATCTGGATCAAAATCTTCGTCTGTTATTTGTTCTTCCACCACAGACCCCGGCTTAGCATGGTTAAGGGTTTTATGGAATAATCTTTTTAACTGCAATGTGTCAACTCTGTCTTCAACGTCATTTAGTTCTATGAAATAATCTACCAAGATAGATCCAGGTGTAAAACCATCTATGCGAATATCTTTGTACCATTTTCTCAATAGGTCTGATTTTCCGTAGACCGAATTTAGCTGCAATCAAGAAAAAACAATAAATTTGTTGTTTTAAACAAACTGAGGATAGTTATTTTCTGCAATAATTTGGTATTACTAAGTTAATTGACAAGAAATGAATATCTGCAACATGTGATTAGTGATTTCAGTTATTGTAAATTGCTATTTGAACAATATTTACCTCTTCTTTAACTTCCTTCGCCAACTTTTGCCATTCCTCTGTATGGTGGTCTAATAGTTCGGGAACCCATTTTGCGCCTAAAATTTATATTATTTTTAATATAGTTACAAGTAAATCAAGCAGTGTTTTCCGCACTTAATTTAATATTTGAACATACTTTACGTAGTTATTTTTTAATTTTTTGGAATTCATTTTAAGATTTTTGCAACAAATCGCGGATATGCTAGAAATAATAAAATATATGTTACCTGCAACAATTTTGATAGTAGCTGCTATATCGCATTCATGTCGACAAACACCAGGCGTGGTCGGTGGGGGGGGCGCTACAGTCGTCGTCGTTGTTGTGGTCGTTCTTCTAGTCGTAGTTGCTTCGGTGTTAATACTAAACGGCGTCGTGGCAGTCGCATTTCTTTGTGCTTCTAAAAGTTTTTCTATTGAAAACGGCGTGGTGGATGGTGATGGCCAGCCAGTAAATTCGGTAGAAGCCCTGAAAGCAACATTTATGTTTATAATACACATACATAATGGTATATTTGCAAACATTAGTGGATTTCACCTTCATCTACCAATTAATTTAATGTACGAAATAGCTTTGCATTGCATTATTACCTAGTAGGCCAGCCTTTTTGAATTTTTGGTGTGACTGGACTTGGTCCCATTTCCAAAGTTGATTTTGGAGTAGTTTTTCTTACAGATTTTCCACCCGGTCTTGAAGGGAAAACTAGCTTTATGCCACCTGTTGGTTTTGTACTAGTACTACTTGTGCTAGGTTCAGTGGACTCTTCGGTGATGTTCGGTTTGAATCCAGGTGGTAACAAGTTAGATATGTCAGCAATTTTAATTTTACTTAACAAGTCCTCACTTTTAACACTTTCAGTTTTATTTAATTTATAATTTGGTGGCAAAAGTGCAGATAGATCTACAGGAACAGCATTGGCAGGTATTTTAACGCTTGGTTTAGACATTTCAGTAGTGGAGGCTGTAGATGTATTATTTAAAGTAAAACCTTTAGGCAAGAAAGCAGATATATCTACTTTCTGGATTTTTTCCAATATTTCTGGTTGTTTCGACTGTGTTTCCTCGTCAACCGTAGGTTTGTAGCCCAGCGGCAGGAATTTACTTATATCATCTTTTTTAAGCTTATTCAATAAATCATCTTGGGGCTTGTTTTCTTTTGGTCGGTATTCTTTGGGCAGTAAAGATTTATCATCGAGTATAATAACTTTATTTTTAGTATTTATTCCAGACGATCTACCTTGGGTCCCATTTATAATTGGGATTTTCAATGGAGGTAAAGTAATCGGAAGAGCCGTGGATGTAGTTGTCGTAGTAGTTCTTGTAGTGGTGGTCGTAGTAGTACTTGTTCGTTTATCTTTAAATGATAGTTTTGGTTTGTAGCCAGGAGGTAAAAATCCAGCAATCTCGTCCACAATTGTCACTAAAGATGGTTTCTTTCTAGGTTTTGGGGTAGTAGACGATGTCATGCGTGGTGTAAATTTCTTAATCATCACAGGTAACGGATCAGGAGATGACCTTTCGGTTATAGAGGAAACTTGTGTACTTTTTAATGTAAATACATTAGGTAACGTTGGTGTTGTTGGAGACATTGTACTTCTTACGGTCGTGTTAATTTGTTCTGTCGTTGATTCTGTTATTAATTCAATATTTTTATTGTCGCTATTTAAATTTCCCGACAACACACTGCTTGATAATTCTGATTGAATGCTATCTAATTTATCATTTATATTTTCGGTAGATGATGAACTATTAACGATGCCGATTTGTTCTTGAGCATTAGTGATAGTTATACCTTCTTCATCATCTTTTTCATCCGTAAGAACCTGTTTTTTTTCTTCTTGTTCTACAGTAGGGAAAGGAAGAAAGCGAGCTCCTGAAACACTGCGACTTGTTTGCACAGATGCAACAACTATCCAATTTTCCGTAGTAACTGGAGGAAGGTCGTCGTTTGAATCAAGCGGTGTCATTTCTGAAGATCTTGCTGAACTTGGAGTTACAGTCGCATCGGGGATCGATATGGTTCCATTAACCACACTTTTTGTTGTAACTACAGAAACCACTTCTTGCCCTAAAATAGATGGCGTTTCTATGGATGATATTTCTTCACTAGAATAAACTTTAATATTTGGAGCTGTGGAGTTGTTAGTTTCCGGGTCCGGTTGATCAATTACTGTTGTATCTACAAATTCTTTAAAATTGTCGTCTTTCACCATTGTATTATTTGCTTTCATTACAAGAACATCAAAAGTGTTTGTAACATTTGTCGTTACTTCATCAACAACTTTTTCTTGTTCATCTTCATTGTATTTATCAGAATCTGCTTCAGTAGCATCATATTCATCATATATGTCAGTTACAGGCTCTATAGCTTTTGTGGTTGTGGTGGGTTTTATTTCAGTATTTTCTGACTCTTCATAATATTCGTAATATTCTTCTTTGCCATCTAATTCTTCGCTGTCATCACCGTTATTAAGATCAGCACTTAAAGATGTCGGAGTAGTAGCAGATACAGATGTTGTATTAACATTTTTATCCAAAAGGGGTGCTTTCGAAATATCCTTTACGGTGTTATCAGGACTCATAAAACTTGCGTCTGCTTTGCTATCGTCCACGTCAGATTCGTTTTTAGCTGTAATCACTTGGACATCGTGTGATTTTTGATTATTTTTCAACAATTCTCTGAACGAAGTAATATCACTAATATCATCTTCCAGTAAAGGCTCTATATCTAAAAGTGATTTATATTCTGTCGACGAGGCATCGTGTTGTGGAATATTTTTTATTCCCTTTGATTGATTTCTTACAAGGTATTTGTTAATTTCTATGTCGGCTATGCTTGCTTTACTAGGCGTTACAGGAGTGTTGAAATGCGAAAATCGTGAATTATTAGGATTAACGTTCAATTTGTTTTTAGGTATAAAACTGTTTGGATTGTATGTTGTTACTCTATGTTGATCAAAGAGGTCTGTGTTGTCGTTTTCAATATCTTCTTCCCGTGGGATATGACCACTTTGTCCATTACTTCTTAAGCTATTGCTATCGAAAGGAAGAGTTTTAAATCTATTATTTTGAAGGAAATCAATATCAGGATTGTTTATTGTTATTTGACCTAAAAAGGTCTCTTGTTTTGTGGGGTCATTTTGATAGGCTACAGAATGTATTTGCTGAAGGTCTGGTTTCTTTGTTGATGCCGGATGTACGATTTGATTGTTAAAGGGTAGTGATGGTCTAAACCTCTGGCGCTGAGAGTTACTAATCTCTGGTTGATTGATATAGTACTGAGCGCCTGATTGACTTCTTCCACTCGGTAGTTGGAAAGGTGAAGGATTTTGATTATATCCAGGACTAGGTAAACGCCCATTGTTAAATAAAGATTGATGAGCAGCAGGTGAAACTTTAAAACTATCACCATTGTCAAAAAATGACGAAGGCCTTGTATTCGGAAATAGAGACGGTTGAACTTGAGCAAAACTTCTCTCCACTGGTGTGTAATAGTAGTCGTTTTCATCTGTAAAGAACAAAAATATCAGTATTAGTAAATTTCATAGGCACGATAATAAACGAGGTCACAAATCCCACAATCTCTGCTTTGTTAAAGCAATATAGACCACACCATGTGTTCTTAATTCAATACAAAATTGTGAAAAATGTTACGATTAGCGTTTTCTAAGTTTGTTGAATATGATTCATGTAACATCAATCACGAAGTGCGATTAGCGTTTGCTAAAATGTCGACATATTTTTTTTCATCAGCGATGGTTGTCCGACAAAATGTAGTCTAACGAGTCTTTCATTATACGTAATGTAAATGTAATTAATTTACAAAATTACTAACCATAACATGGTCGTATTTAAAGTAGAACAATGACAACGTATTTGTTAAGATGTTGTAATTACCGTAATTAACAAAGTTAGTTGCTTAAGGAGCCACTTAAAATATGTACAAAATAAAGCTAAAAATATGTTATCGAGAAGTAAAAATTCCTATACATAATTAGCTGTACTCGTGCTTTATTTTGGTTATGGCTGAGTTGTTTCTATTACAATATCTAATAAAAAATTGATTACCAAGCTATATTTCGGCAAAATCTGACAGTTAATATCTTATGGGAGAATAAAGTCAAGGGAATTACTTTCTTGCGGTTCATATTCCTAATTAAGTGCGGTGCGATTATCCTCCGAGCTTAAATGGGGGCGTTGCTGAACTTAATAGAAAATCAATAATCTTGTGAGAGAAGTGTTTGACGCATATTGGACTTGCGACAATTTATTTGAAGAATATCATGAACTAGCTACGCCTCCGTATCCTACACGCTTACTTCGTGGATTGAATTAATTTTTTTACAATTGTAATTTTATAAACATATTAAATTTGTTAGCATACAATTTCCTAAGATTGTATATATTGCATGATGCAACGGAACTTTATCATATATTAAAATAAATACTCTAGGATCAATTGGAATAATAATAAAATAACATTAATCCGGTAAACAAACTAGGTAACAACTCAAGTAAATCGTTCACTTCCGACAGTAGCCCTTGAGATAAATTACTATTAACACGTTGAGTACCACCGACTCGCTTAGTGAATCGGCTTTTCAAAAGAAAAAAATGTAGTAGCATAGAACGTGTTAAGATATTCAAACACCACGTACTTGATCCTCGACTATGTTACTGCTAAGTTATAAAGGTTACTTTTTCTCTGTCAGTTTCCGTAAACATTCAGTAATTCCGTGTAGATCAGCTCAGATTCTCAGTATAGTTGGGATTTCATAATTTATATTGCGTCATATTGAATGAAACAGACGAGTATTTAAAAAATGTAAAAACCCAGCGGATAATTTGATGATTCATTAATCTGCCTTTAAAACTTAAGCGAGTCACTGCATTGTAAGTTAGCGATTTGGGGAAAAACATAGTTGTTCAAAAAATATATAGTTCATTGAACCTAATCGTATAGTTGTGACAACTCTATGTTCTGTTTTAAGTTCAAAATTATGAGTCATGTTTTATTAAATATAGGTATTGCAATTTGTGATGAATTAAGTTTAATATATACCTAAATATTTTATACTGTTTAGTCTCTGATGGTTAAAACTCTGTGCGACAAAAGTTTACTTAAAATATTACCTCAGAAACACTCGAATGAAACTTTTGCGGCGACGACTTACAATTTATGCTTACTTGAAACATAGCCCGCAATAAATATAGCACACACTTAATGTTAAGGAGCATACACATTGTGGTAAAATTTGAGTTGCTAGAGTAGTTAATAATAAAAATACTTTTTGTGCTAATAATTTTAAAATGTATCTAATCTTAATAACTGGATAAAGTTACACGTGTCATTTCATTTGTATATAAATTTTGATTAAATAAAAAAATATTTTTACAACGACTATCGTAGCAATAGAAAAATCTAATTACAAATGTACTTTTTTTATTGTCAATTTTGTTTGGTTTAAGAAATTCGCAGAATAAAACTTAACATTAAATTCGGATCGGCAAACCAACGTTATGGTTTTTATCATATTAATGTTCGGAATTCGAAGCTTCCTAGTAGAACAGTCATTGGTAGAACTCTGGTCGGGAAAGAAACATGCCTTTAAAAGACGAAAACAGTATATACTCTTGATGAGTAATTAATACCGGATATAGTGTTATTACTAGTAATGATACATGTTATTTAGTCATGTATAACATTGCATTGCAATATACGTTAAATGCGTATGGAATTTATATGCAATCCTAATGAACTATAGGTTTTCTAGTTGAAACTCGCTTATTAGTCTTTGTTTTATATGAAAATAAAAGCTGTCGCCCGCGACTTCATCCGCGTGGGGTTTAAAAAAATACTTAATTATTAGCCTATGAGTATTTCCAGACTGTGTTCTACATCTATGCCAAATTTCAGCGAGGTCCATATAGCCGTTCATCCGCCATTAATCCATCGATTCAAACATTATAATAATAGTAAAGTTACATTCTCTATTATTTAAAACTTGAAGGGTCGAATAAATTAGGTCACTGTATTTATAAAATATAAATGTTTTCAAAATATATATGATTCAGCCTATCAAGTTTATTTCAATCTACCTATGAATACAAAGTTGTTGATTTTATCATTATTAAGGTGTCGCCTTCGAAATGTTATAAAACATTAGCTGTCAAATGCTACTTAACAGCTTGACAGCATTGACAAGGGTCAAGTAATGTTTGTACATAATAACCATGTGGCTTTCCACTGTTGAAAATTAATACAAAAACAAATTATGACTACTTTTATTTCCCTTATAAACTGAGATATTGATAAGAATTATCCGTGGATTTCTTGAAATTTATACATAAATAGGGAAATATTTTAAAGTTACTTACAGTGGAAAATCAGGGCAAATATTTCAATTAGTTTCAACGTAAATGTTACTCAAAACTAGCCGTGGATATAACTTATTCACATTGTATAGAGGTTTGAAGGTTAAAAAAGTCCCAGTGCTAACTATGGAATATTTTTGCGAAAGTAGAAAAGGTAAAGTGTGAAGGTGCGCAGGTGGCATGTGAATAAGCCCTAATGGATTTTTTACACGTGGACCGAACAGTGAGGAAAATCTCACGCTATTCCCACTCAAAGTAAATAGAGAATCATCCTGTGTCGAATGTGCGTTGAAATAATGGCAGTACTGCACTGTATACTGCTCTGTCCTAGTGTGAAACTAGCATAATGGCGATCACACAAGCGGTCGCTGTACGTAACTTGGGCTCTGAATAATAAATAGAGCGCCAGTTAGTCGGCACACGTGGGCGAGGACATCGGGGTTGTCCGCCTACGACGCCCGCCGCAACACATTTTATATTGTTTTTAACATTACATTTATTTAATGCATGCAGAGACTTTGATATTCCTTTATTTTGTCTATTTTCTGTTTTACTTTCGCTTAACAGAGACAGCTGTGGCTTATAAATAGCAGGGCAGTAGTTTTAGCAAAAACCATTTTAGTAACTTACTTGAGAATCCCTGAATGTAAACTAAGTCAGATAAATTTTCTCTAAGGGATTGACTAAGTAACCATTGATTGACTCTAAGTGTGAATTTGATTTACAACTCACCTTGACATTGTGTATCCTTAATTATAAAAAGCAGGAACGCTGCGATAGTAACAATCCTCCAGCGTCGTCTTCCCATTTTGTTGTATATTTCACCGTTTCATTTATGTTCTCACTTGTCACCGAACTTTTATAGTTCCTCCACTACGTCATAGCTGCCGTGTACAAATCACGGTCATTTGAAAAATCCCGACTGCCCTTTCACATCTGAAACAAATGAAAATCATTTTATACGTCACGCACTTGGATATTGTCCACTGAAAGGTAATAAAATTGAATTTTGCATGACAATAATATTGAGAACCCAACAGTTGTTCTCGAATATTTTGGTTTCATTAATATTGACTCGCAAATTATAAAGAAAATGGAAAAGTCCGATTGTCTTATAACTAACTCGGCTAATTTATCTATTAGATTTGTTACAACGATGTGCAAACATATCTACTGTGAATTTATTTTTGTTTTTATCCATATCCATAGTATAAATGCATTATTTTTATGTATCTTTTCCGGTGATTTATCTAATAGAGGATGTAATTTAAATACTGCAAGATTTACATTCCTTAAATATCAGTATATATATGTTTAGCTGTATATGTTAAACCGTGGGTTTCCACTGATGAAAGAACGCTAAATATATTCATCCTGCTAATATATTCGTATGTACTACAAAATAAATTTCATGACTTGTATTGGTTTTGTTATTACCAAAGATTAAATACTTCTTTGACCTCTTCTCTATTAAAGTAATAGAAAAAATACAATAGCAAACGTCCCTTATATTATAATGATTTACCGATAAAGGATAAAGAAAGTACACGGTACGGCTTCTGAATTTTGATATCATCGATAAGATTCCATATAAGAATTCTGAAGCTATAACGAGTAAGCCAACATAAGTGGTAAAGTATTTAACGCGCGGAGTACGTGACGAGATTTCTAAATAATAGTAGACCAATCGCAAATATATTGAATTAGAGATGTTATTCGAACATCGATTTCATACATAATTATTGATTTTTATTTATTCTTAATCAAACAATCAAAATCAACATTTTTTAAAATAAATAAAGAGTACAGATTTATTATCCGATATTTTCAGTTTGAACTTATACAACGTTTAGGAAAATCACAGCATTCTTTTTTATAATTGGTGTTGAATACAAAACGTAGTGAAACGTATAACTCGACAGTAGACACGGCTGCACCGCGCCGCACTTGCTTCTTGCCGTGTGAAAGCGTCACGGACCGACGAACAGTTTCTCGTACGCACTATGATATTGACGTATACATGATTTAATAAGACAAAATATTGTGTGCATATTATAATTCTTAAACTAATGCTATGTTAACATTTCCTTAATTTAAACTTTTTATTGTTGTGAGATAATATGCGAGCTACTTTTTGTATTGTGTTTTAATGCACATAATACCTATACACATAAGTTAACGATAATTCTTCTAAATAAGTCAAATTGGGGCTATGCACAGGCGTATTCCTCATAAAGTTGAACTAGTAAACACAGCGGGTTAATTTCCTTCTTAACCTTTTGAACGCCAAGCCAAAAAAATTAAACGTTTTTACTATAGCAACCGTTGTATTGTCCCTGCTAATTGGTGTTCAAGGCACATTGCACAACGGCCAGGTCTCATACAAGTAAATAACGTAACGTAAGCCTAAGCGTGTCTGAGGCAGATTTAAATTGCCCCTATTGTGGTGGTTATGAAACATTCTCACGGCCGGTACATTGTCATGTGCGAGCCCATACTTTTGCGTCACACAAATTAATATTCAATTTCGATAACCATTCAAAAGCTGGTTCTTTAATGACCGCACGATAATTAAGTTTCTTTCTGTTTGTATTGCAAAAGTCTTTTCAAAACCGTTGTTATATGAAACAAGTGTTTTTATAAAAAAAATTCTCACGACCACTTTTGTTAAAAATGCATTGGTGCAAGCGACGGAGAGCAGATCTTCATACAATATTTGCGGGATAATTATGTTTTAGATTAAGTTGTATTCGGTTTTGATGTCAAGGTTAACCGATTTCTTTTGTGTGAAGAAATTTTTTTTAAGAGAATAGTGATATTTTCTAATATTATCATTACTTGGGATGTCTTACTTCATACCTTCTTTTTTATTATAATTTCTTTTCTTATCTTACTAATTATAAATGCGAATGTTTATTTGGATGGATGGATGGGTGGATGGATGTTTGTTTGATGGTATCTCCGGAACAGTTGCATGGATCCCGCTAAAAGTCTGGAAGAACACATAGGCTACTTATTAAGTTTGTTTTTAACTCTGCGCGAACGGAGTCGCGGCCGACTAGCAAGTTATTAAATTCTTATAATAAAACAATTACGTTATATTGTAAAATCGTTTTAAGCTGCAATAATGTTTGGAATATATAAGCTAAATACATAAATATTAAAATGCAACCATTAAAAGCAAGGCTTACAGCAGTCGTTATCGTTCGATATGACCTACTAGTCTACTCGTAACTATTAAGAATTGTTTACTGTCCGAATATTTTTTATGACAAATTTATCTAACCTTGAAACCCGAACCTCACAAATTTCAAGGTATTTCTAATAACTATGCGAAGGTCTATATGACACTTTATAAATGAACAGCGGTATACACAACACGATTCATCAATGATCAATTTGTCGTGACTAAAAGACATAAATAGTTAGCACCGAACGGCCTTACACGAACCTTCACACACTAAGTAGCTAATACTATCAGTTATTAAGACAATAAAATTTTATTTAGGGGCATTTCGAATCGACTGTAATTCGATATTGGTTTTATGTCTTTATAAAACTGACTCAAAGTCGTCTGCAAGTTTGAATAACAAAGTGATCTACAATTTATTAGTAACACGCGGTCTCCCGCGACTCCGTCCGTGAGGAATCAAAGAAAAAACATAATTAGTAGCCTATGTGTTCTTTCAGACTATATTCTATATGTATGCCAAATATTATCGAGATCCGTTCAGCCGTTCTGAAGTTACCTTTAAACAAACATTAATCCATCTATCTAAACATTCGCATTTATAATATTAGTAAGATAGTTATCTTTATATCTGGAATTATATTATAAAACGATAAGTAAGGGAGGCGAAGCGGGGATTTTTGAATTTACTAAAGTGAAAGAATTTTTCAAATCGGTTCAGTAGTAATGCAAACAAACTAACAATCAAATCTTTCGTCTTTATGATATGAGTAAAGATTATAATACGGTTCGTTTTTGAAATATATTTCTCATTAGTGGTGTGACCTTCTCAAGAATTGGTTAGCTCACTGTTATTAAATCATTAAAATCTACACTTTTAAATTATACGTTGGATTATTTATATATTTCAAACCAGTCTACGTAAAATAAATTTACTTAATCTTACTACTTAGTAATTTACTAAATGCGAATGTTTGGATGTATAGATGGATGGATGTTTGTTAGAAGGTATCTCCAGAAAAGCTTAATGGATCTAGACGAAATTTGGTAAAGATGTAAAACATAGTCTGAAAGAACCCATAAACATTTTTTACTTAACGCATTAAAACATTAATTTGCATTAAAACGTTTTTTAATACCGCGCGGATAGAGTTGCGGGAGGCAGCTAGTATATTATGAATAAATAATTAAACACTTAATAATTCGAAATTGTATGTACAAATTACATGCAATTCAGAATTCAATTATCCCTGCATGTTGTTTAAAATATACCAAATCATATATTTTTTTTCAAATAAAACACAATACAAAAATTTCGTTTGTAATTTTTTTTTACTATATAAATTACTACATTTAATTTACAATTATGGACTATAATTTTACAGATCATTAAATTGTAAATCTTAGCAACATAACATGAAATCATTTAATATAGCACACTATCTCTTCGTTCTACTTAACAACGTCACAAGTAATTGGAGCGGAAGAAAAATTCTTACGCCTTTAGTAATATCATAAATTGCATTCGCTCATTGAATGAAAATAGTTAAACTGTTGTGAAACTGTCACAAATCTATCTGAAGGTTTAAAGTTTGTTTAGTTTTAAATCTAATTTTACATTGTGTTCCCTAATAAAGATATCTGAAAGTTGTATTTTAGAATTATAACTTCTTTCAAATCAAGGTTTGAAAATGACATTTTCGTGTAAAGATAAATTTTAAGATAAAGATAAATTTTTGTATTCTTTTTAAAACTAAATACTTACAGTGTAATCTTTTTATTAAACACATTTGTAATTCTTACTGAATGTATCATAATATTATTTGAAGCACTGCTATAAATTATGGCCTACAAGCAATACTTCTATTGTGTAACAAACTGTGGTTTTCTGAGGCCAAAATCCCCATTTAAAACATATTGTTAGCTCTGTTCTGTCAAAGATAATGACAGGGATGACGATATGTTTTATGCAGACATTTTGGTCTCAAAAACCCAAGACAATTCGTAGTTATTTTTGCATCTGTCGACAGCCGCTACGCTAACTTTACTAGATAAACTTTGTGAAATTGTATTGGCTTGTATGAAAACTAAATTACAAAGAAGAAAATCCTTTTAAACACAAATGAATCCTCATTAACAAAGTTCATATGTAAAATATCATGTATTAAAAGTTCGTTAATTTTAAATCGATGTTCTTATTACGAGATAGATCAAACAAAGAGTTCAAGCGGTAATAACTGTGACCTAGACTCAGAGTCTAGACTTTATGGTTATATAAACAACGTCTAGTGGTTGTAATAACTGAGCACGTTACTGCAACATCTATAAGGTTTATAAGAGCAATTTCTATTACTTATTACTCAACGAGTTTGTTTTGCACGCTTGAGGCCGAGCAGCCGGTTACCAACCTTGCCTCCCCCCCTTTCTCCCCCAACCCCTCCCACCATCCTTGATATACACTTTCACTCGCTGCGGCCTTCCTACGTACTTTTGACAGCCTTAAATAATACGGATGTACCGCTCTCAGAATTAAAGCATTTTCGGAAACGTTGTTTCTTCCATATTTGTTTACGTACGTTGCCACGTTACATTAAAATATTAGCTCTTCTTCATGTTTTACATACTTAAATGTTTAAATACACCGCTGAAAATGGAATTTTCGTATGTTTTCTTCCAGACTATGTTCTATATGTATGCAAATTTTTAAACGAATTCCGTTGAGCGTTCGGGAGATACCTAATAACAA